CACACACACACAGACACACACACACACACAGATACACAGACACACACACACACACACAGACACACACACACACACAGATACACAGACACACACACACACACACAGACACACACACACACACACACACCCCAACACGCAATACACACACATACACACCACACACACTTAGGGAGGCCAGAGGCTAGAATCCAAGCTCAGGTGTAAGTTCTTGCCCTGATGTTGTAGAATATTAGTTAAAGGTGTGTTACATTCTTTGATGCTGTGGAACATTTGTTTAATGATGAAAGATGTGTTGCAGTCTTTTATGTTGCATTTGTTTATCTCTGTGAAGCTGTGTTACTTTGCCTGTCTAAAATACCTGATTGGCCTAATAAAGAGCTGAACGGCCAATAGCAGGGCGGGAGAAAGAATAGGCGGGGCTGGCAGGCAGAGAGAATAAATAGGAGGAGAAATCTGGAAAAGAGATCAAGGAGCAAAGGCAGGAGAGGAGGACATCAGGGGCCAGTCACCCAGCTACACAGCAACCCACAGAGTAAGAAGTAAAGAAAGGTGTATAGGATAGAGAAAGATAGAAGCTCAGAGGCAAAGGGTAGATGGGATAATTTAAGTTAAGAAAAGCTGACTAGAAACAAGCCAAGCTCCGTAGAGAAGAGCAGGAGGAAGAGGAAGAGAAAAGGAACGACTTCCTTCTTGTCCTTGCTTATATTCTGAGTCTGCCTGCTGTGTCACTTCCTGTCTGGATATCTTTACTACACTTCCCAGAATCCTCCTTGACTCCTAGTCCCACCTATTTTGCTTTCCTATTGGCCAACAGTGCTTTATTCAACAACCAATAAGATAAACATATACACAGAAGGACTTTCCCCACCAGGCTTGCTCAGGTAAAAAAGCATAGGCGGCCATATTATTGAGTTTTATGGATGTTGCTTCCTGTCATAGATGGATGAATTGTCAAAGCAGACACCCCCGTCTTCTGCCTCCTTCCCTGTGATGTTCCCTGTGTGTCAGGTGTTGTCTTAAATGGATCTAACCAAACCACCACCTCCACCACCACCACTGTGCCACGGTCAATTATTCAGTCTCTATCTGCTGTAAAAGGAAACTGCTTTAATGAGAGGAGAGAGCTACTCTTAGCAGTGGGTATAAAGTGTTTAGAAAGCAGCTGGGATTTTCACTGGTTTAGGAAAGTGGCAGCGATAGGTTCCCCCGCTAGGTCCCATGACCCCACTGTCCAGGTAGTTGACTAGCTTATGGCACCAGGGATGAATTCCCATCTGTGAGCAGGACACCTATTAGTTGCCACCAAGAGACAAGTGCCACTATTGCATCTTTGGGAATGTCTTTCCAGAATAGTCGTAGTTGTGATTCATTGGTGTCACAACTGGGTAGGACTACTGACTGCTTTCTCCCTCGGTAGCTTACATAGCATCTTCTGGTACTAGTCCTTAAGGAGGGGGCTTCTGGGTCAGATGGAGGTTGATTCCTCCAAGTCCTGTGTCCATAGTGCAAGGTGTCTTCGACAATAGGAACGCAGGTTCAAATTCAAGGAGGCAACCAGGTCAATGGCAATAGTCATTTGGGGATTACTTGGACTCCACCTGACCAACAACTCAGAAGGGAGTTTCACATGCCTGGTAGTGGGGTTATGTTAGACAGTCCATGCTATTGGAGAGGAGCATTGCCAGCCCACATAGCAACTTCCTTTAAACCCTCTGCCTATGTCCACTCATACGCCTATATATTACATATCATTTTAGGCGAACACAAAGTGACTTAGTGTTATTTATTTCTCTTCTCTCCCTTTGCTTCTCTGTCTTTCCTCACCCCCTCGTTTTCATGCTTCCCCTTCCATAGCACCCATATCCTGCAACCCTCCCCCCCAGTGACACACTTCCTCCAGCAAGGCCACTAGTAGTGCCACATTCCATGATCCTATGGGGGCCATTTTTACTCAAGCCACCACAAGGTCCAGGTGGCAAATCCACTCCCCAGACTGCTTGTTGCTGTTGCTGAGTCTTGATTTTTCATGTTGATGGAGATGGAACTTAGGGTTAGACAACTGGTCTACCATTCAGCTACATCTCCACTCCCACAGCCCGTTTTTGTATGCCAGCATCCTTTAATATTTGTCTATTTATTTATTTATTTATTTATTTATTATGTATACAGTATTCTGTCTGCATGCATCCCTGCAGGCTGGAAGAGGGCACCAGATCTCATTACGGATGGTTGTGAGTCACCATGAGGTTGCTGGGAATTGAACTCAGGACCTCTGGAAGAGCAGCCAGTGCTCTTAACCTCTGAGCCATCTCTCCAGCCCACCAGCATCCTTTAAATGATTGTGATGCAATGCCTTTGTAGAAAGAAGAAAAAGAGAGAATAAATAGAGGAGAATGCTCACCAGAGCCCATATGTCATCAATACAATTAACTGGCACTTCACAGAAAAATAGGCCAACTCTTGCTTTCTAGTTTTCCCTGTTTTAAGTAATGTCATTTGATGATGCATTTCCTAAGTATTTGTTACATGTTATCATAAATGATATCTTTAAATTTTTACTTTCCAGTTCCTTTTTTACTAGAAAATAAATTGGCTTTTTCTACCCTGAAATCTTGTTGAATTCTTTTTGTAGTTTTTTAATCATTTCAAGATACAACATTGTATTTTTTAGTTTGTTTTCCTTTTGATTTTTTTTGAGACAGGGTTTCTCTGTGATGTAACAGCCTTAGCTGTCCTGGAACTCACTCTGTAGACCAGGCTGACCTCAAACTCACAGAGATCCGTCTGCCTCTGCCTCCCGAGTGGTGGGATTAAAGGTGCGTGCCACCGTTACCCAGCTGCAGAATGATTTAGAAGAGGGTGTTAAGTGTTGTCAGTCCCCCCCACAGCTCCGAGTTAGCACCACAGCTTGTCACACAATTGAGTTGCTCTCTGAGCATTAGACCAACCCACCAATGCATTCCCGGTACAAACCTCACTTGGCAATGGTAAGTTGTCATCTTTGCTATTGTTCTATTGCTATAACCAAACACCACGACCAAGGCGACTTTTAAAGTATTTCTTTGGAAGCTTGCTTACAGTTTCAGAGGGTTTATTCCATAACCATCATGGTGGGGACCATGGTGGCAGGCAGACGGGGTGCAGCTAATTCCTTACATCCTGATCCTCAGGCAGCAGACTGACAGACACAGAGTGCAACACCGACCTGGTGTGGATTTTTGAAACCCAGTCCCAATGGCACGCCTCCTCCAATAAGACCACACCTCCTAATCCTTCCTAAACAGTTCCCCAATTGGGGACTAAGCATTCAAACATATGAGCTTATGGGGGCCGTTCTCATTCAAACCATCTTGGTCATCCTTTTTTCATGACTTAGTTGCAATTTCCTAAAATGCTAATGGTTCTTTTTGTATACTTTCATGAAGGGTGTTCATCTACAAATATGTTTATTGTTGGCCTGAGGTAACTCTGGCCTCACAGAGACAGCTAGGAGGAAAGCTTCCTCCTCTCCTCCCACTAAAAGAATACACCACTAATAAAATACTGTCTACCATGCTTGAAAGAATTGGCTGGTGTCAGTCTCCCCCATGGAAGGGGGTTTGTCCTCCTTTCCATGTGCTAATTTTTTTTTTTTTTTTCCGAGACAGGGTTTCTCTGTGTAGCTTTAGAGCCTATCCTGGCACTCGCTCTGTAGACCAGGCGGTCCTGGAATTCACACCAGCCAGCCTGCCTCTGCCTCCCGAGTGCTGGGATTAAAGGCGTGCGCTACCAATGCCTGGCTTCCATGTGCTAATCTTTAACTGCTGAGACTGTAGTGGTGTTCTTGCTTTTCATTCCTGATATTATTTGATATTTCCCCCTTTAATTTTTTTCTTCCTTTTGTTTGAGACAGGATTTCACTATGTAGGCTAGGCTAGCCTCGAACTTGAAGAGATCTGTGAACCTCTGCCCCTTTGTTCTAGGACTTAAGTCATGACCCCACCTATTTTAATTATCTCTTCTTCTTCTTCTTCTTCTTCTTCTTCTTCTTCTTCTTCTTCTTCTTCTTCTTCTTCTTCTTCTTCTTCTTCTTCCTCTTCTTCTTCTTTTTCTTCTTCTTCCTCTTCTTCTTCTTTTTCTTCTTCTTCTTCTTCTTCTTCTTCTTCTTCTTCTTCCTCTTCTTCTTCTTTTTCTTCTTCTTCCTCTTCTCCTTATTCTTCTTCTTCCTCCTCCTCCTCCTCCTTTTCCTCCTCCTCCTTTCTTCAGGCTGGCCTTGAACTCACATGGGTTCACCTGGCTTTGCCTCCCAGGTATTGGGATTAAAGGTGTGTGCCCCCCCCATTGGCTTCCCTTTTGATTTCTTGATGAATCTTACTATAGTGTTATCAGTATCATTAGCCTAGGATCCACCTAGGATACTCATTGGCATCATAGATAAAGGAATAACAATCCTAGCTAGCTTCCCCCAGTCCTTTCCTTGATCGCATCCATAGTGGCCCCTTAATATGGCCATCTCCCAAGTGCCTGACTCTTAATACAGCTGCATTAGAGGTGACTTTGAGTGGAAAGTCTCAAGGGGACATAAAACATTTAAACCATGGCCACGGCAGGAGAGCCTGCTTGTTCCATTGTAGTTTACAATGAGTCTAACCCTGTT